TTATTACTATAGTGTCATAAGACCTTGAATACTATTTTAAAAAACTGAGAAAGTTGCCACAATTTTCATTTGAGTACTTTAATTTGAATAATATGAATTCTCGTGGAACGAATTATAACAGACGATTTCTTTTTCACGCACTCTCTATTAGATTCAGTGAAAGTACGTTTTTTGTGCTTAATTTTCAGTAACAAATTTCTAAAGGGTTGTCTTATGTCAAGAAAATTGAATTTTAGTCAGTGAAAATCCTATCATTAGTTTAAAAGTAATTCATCAGGATTTAGCTTTATTTTTGTCACTATATTTGATTTGATAAACTGAATCTCAAATTTTCGTCCGAAATTACTAATTTCAAAAAACTGAATCGGAAAAATGAACTTGAAAATTTCATTAGCTTCAATAAACTTTTAAGGTTAAAAAAAATTCTCATTTTTCGAGCCCTCAAAAATCGGACATTTTCAAAACTCTCCAGATGTGAATGACGAATGCAAAACAGATTTAAAGAGAAAGAAAGAAAACGCACAGTTGCCAATCGAAGAACAAAACATGAAAAAACCGTGACTGGCTTATCTACCTCGTTTGGCTGCCGTGGTATCCTTAACCTAGGGTAAACTAACCAGTGAATAAGGAACACTTAAGCTTAGCTTGCTTTTAAAGAAATCATAAAAATTTCAAAATTTGTGATTTTTGCTAAATGGCAGAGCCGACATATTTGTTATTAACTGCCGAATTATGTAAAAAAAAATTAGAGCACTTACATAATATTGTTTTAAGCTTTTGGTGGTTCATATAATAAGTAGTAAGATGATCAACTAAAGCAGAGGTTCCCAAACTTTTTTTTCTCGTGGACCACTTTCAAAGTTTTATTATTTTTGGTAGACCCCCTGCTGCTACATTTCTACTGTATTCACAAAACTCCTAAAAAATATCACCCTAAATTGGGGATGTTAAGAAGAAGAAAAAAGTAGCACATTTTCTTGTGTCCTATTTATTAAAATAATACTTGCGGTTATACAAAATTATAAACATTTATTATTACAAACAATCAACAATTGACAAAAAATCAACAATGAACTCTGAAATGTAAATCAACAATAAAAAATAGTCATACTTTTAATGAGACAGATGTACTTGATGAATTGACAGCAAATTATCAATATTTGGCTTTTGTTTTGTAAGAAGTTATCTCAAATCTCCCCATTCTGTGATGTTCAATCTGCTCCCTTTTTTTTGTTAACACGTTGGTAACAGCACTAAAACTTCTTTCGACAAGATATGACGAGGGAAGCGCTATCAAAAATTTTCTCGCAATTTCTCACTGCCCAGGATATTTTTCGGGGATTTTTGCCTGCAGCCAAAATGTTTGATAGCCTTTTTTAAATTTCACCTTCAGTTCCTCGTTAGTGCTGAGCTCAAGTAAAACCACATTCGCCTCTTCTGTTTCATCAAATGGGGTTATGATCCATGGTGGTATTTCCATCGTCAGAATATCTTCAAATCTATTTTTGAAGTCATCATGCAGAGTATTTAAATGCGAGCGGGGGCACGGGCGGCACTTTGCAAGTCTCGACATGTGGTGTACACTTGTACTATTATCTATTGTTCTATTCAATTCTGTGTTTGAACTGATTCTCGAATCTAGTGAATGATGGCCTACTTTGATAGGTAACTCCAAGGCAAAATTTTTGTTCTTTATTATGAAAACCAGAAAATTTTTCGTGGACCCCCACTTACAACTTGTGAACCCCTGTTCTCTTTTCAAGTCTAAGTGGACCCCCTGTTGTCTCTTATGGACCCCTGGGGGTCCACCTGGACCACTTTGGGAACCTATGAACTAAAGGAACAGTTCTTACCAGTGAATGAAAACTAAATTTTCCAGTGAATGAACACTTAATTTTGAGAATTTTGATGCTTTTTAGGAATCCATTGGCCATACAAATGCCTAAAAACAATTATTTTTTCTTGGAATTATAACATCTAACCTCAGTTAACGTGGAAAATTTTGCTTTTTTTTCAGTCATGAAATGGAAAGTAAAATGGGGTTGAATAACAGAATAAAAATTAATTTTGTTTCTTACACTTTAATAGTCGAGTCTAAATCATGAATACTTATTCATTGTGTAATCCGATGATATTTTATTACAATTATTTTATCGCGTTTTTTAAAAAAATTCTTTTTTCCCATATTTTTTTAAACTTTTTTTTAAACTTGTTAAGTATTTTTTTCTTCTCTTCATCCTATTTTCGTGTTTTAATTTTTTTCCAGCTCTTTCAGTCTTATTAAATTTTCGTCCTTTTTCTGAAGTTAATGCAAAAGACAATTTATTTCTTTTTATTTTGATTTGATCTTCCTTTTTTATGCTTATATTTGGCCAATGTAAATGTATTTTTGAATTTTCTTGATTTTTCAGTACTATTTCTTGAATTTCTCACTGGATAATTGATGGGAAAAAGGTGTTTTGAATTTTGAGGAAAATCCATCTGTCATTCACTTATATCTAGTGGGTCTTCAGCACTACTTACCATTTTCCGACTTTGATTACTAATAGAATACATTGTTTTTGTAACTAACGATACCTCAACAGGACTTATGTTAAAATCAGTTTTTAAGATACATTCATTATCAATGTAAGTTGTTTCAGCTTCGGTGTCAAAGTCTGACTTAACCAAATGTTCTTTTTGCATTAAATTCTTCCATATTTAGAAAAGCAAAGGCAATTGGATATTTAGGAGATTAGACTCTTCTGTCAATGTTCCTTTAAAAATTTGCGACATATCATGTGATATTTCATTCTCAAGCTTCCGAAGAAATAATGAATCGTTACTCGAAGTTCTCGTTTATCGAAATATGTGTTTTGTTGATAAGCTTTCTTACTCATTAGCTCATTGTGTCTGTCTTGCATGAATTTGTTAAAGTCAACGTTTTCAACATCAAATGGAAAAATGCCACATTTTATAAAAACATTTTAACTTCATCAGTTGATGCCCCAAAAGCCTATTAAAAATGGGTGCAAAATTACCTCTACATATTGTTTTACAACTCCTTTTTTTCAAGATCTAGCGGAAATTTCATTTAAGTTTTCAAAGCTCGAAATACGTCTACATCACAAGACGGGAACACACTAGTAGAATTAGGTAGAAAGCTAAACCGGAGAATTTGTTTTGATAAATAAAACTTGCTCAGTTTCAAATTGATGTGAGATTGATACCCATCCAGAAGAAGCAAAATAGGGAATTTGATGGCATTTTCAATTTGCCAATGGGTAGAATGAAGCATTTGCAATATATTCGTAAAATGTTGTCATCGTTTCACTTCATTAATCCCTTTTCCCAATGAAATATATAGCAGGAACTGATTCTTTAGTACCTCGTGGAATTCTTCAGTAAGAAAAAACTACCAATGGAGGTCATTTTTTCCACTAGCTGAAATGTTGGCCCAGACTGTTATTCTTTCTTTTCATTCCTAGGAACTATAGAATGTAAATCCTTATAACTTTGGGGGCAAAAGATTTTTCCCGTTTAAGGGCAGTACTCATTTCCTGTTTCGTTCGCATTGTAGATGCGATCACATTCTGAAAGGATGGCAAGGCTACTTCCCTCCTTAAGATTCTTATTAGGTTCTTTAAACCACTCTCGAATATTATTCTCAGTTTAAGAAAGGAGTTTTGCCTTTTGAAATTATCTTCGCATTGCCCTGAGTTATCAGTGGATGTTGACTTAAAAAAAGCTTCACCCATTTTTCACCTGGATGGCTGTCTTTAAATGGATGTTTCTTACCCGTTTCCGTCATGACGTTAAAGACTGCATTAGGATAATAATTTAGCTAATTATTAGTACAATTGGCCAGCAAAGAAATGTTTTATTTAGGCTTTGATTATTATATTTCAGTTTTTGATTAGTAAACATAGTTTATTAAGGTGTCTAAGGTATGATGGAACTAACCACTCCATTTATAAAGATAAATTATGATTATAATTCTTTCCATAAATTTAGCAATTAAATTAACATTTTGAAATGAAATTATTTTAGGAATTATTCATGCAACATTTAACAGAATTTTAGGTGTCTTCTATATCGCAGAACTACTAATTAGCTTAGAGCCATGTAAAATCATATTTTACACCTACTGTTCATTCATTCTATTCCCAGTTAAGGAACAGGCATGTTCCTTCACTGGTTAGAAGTTGTTTTTTGTATTTTTAACATAATTTTGATGTGTAATATGACTAAAGGTACAAGAAAATTAAATTTTTTCTTTAATTTTCATTTACTTGGAAAAATCCTAGTGAAGGAACACTTGTTCATTCATTGGTTTTTCATCGTTTGGTAATCCAGTGAATAAACACCCCCTAATCCCAGTACTGGCTTAGTGCTATGATGCTTAAAATTAATAAAACGTAACTTTAATAACCCTATTTCGAATTCTTTTTTTCACAGTGAGAAAAATAGAACTATTATATGCAATTAATTTCACTTTAAACGAATAACTACAAACAGACCTTATAATTTTGTCACAGAAACAATGTGCTGAACAGATATTTACAAATTCAAAAATTTTTCAATGAGAAAACTATATGATCAGGCAACCCAATGCATTGTTACATGACTTCCTATTCTTAGGTAGTAAGCTACTGTTACCAATCAATCTAAGTAAAAAGGTTTAAAATCTTAATTTTAAAAAATATTTATCAAGTGTTCATTCACTGGGTTGTTTTCCTTCATTGGTTGGTTTACCCTACAGCGATTTTTTGTTTTCATTATTCATTCATTGCTTCAGCTTTAATTTATTTGTCGTTTTTTTCAATTAACAACGCTTCCTTTCATTTTTCAAATCTTTTTCTTCCAAGTTTATTTACGTCTAGTGAGTTTTGAGAGCGGGTGCCTGCTCTTAAGCGCTCCAAACATATCATTTTATTTTTAACTTACTAAATTTTAAAGTGAAGGGAGTTGTTCTAATTGAATTTTTGTTTATTGAATTAATTCGGTTCATTTGTTTTCAGATTGGAACACACACTTACCCTCGCCTCTACATGATGTGCTGGTCTAGAGATTCTTATGATATTGATTATCACATAAAGGTAATTGGGTTAACATTCAAATATTTTTTATAAATTATCGAAAGACAGAAAATGAGTGAGAAATGTATTTTCTTCCGGTTCAAAGAATTCTTTTTTGAACTACAGTCGAGCCCCGGTTTAGCGAACCCCTATTTACCGAATTTCATTATTTAACGAATTTCATGAAGTGATTGAAGTATGGGAAACAATGCGATTCTAACAGAGTGGATCGATGATAATGAATCTCTAGTGAGAATTGTTGCTTTTTCTGATGCTTTTGCACGGATTGGAAACAGAGAAAACTTACCTAATGCATCAAGAGTATTTTCTTCTCTTCATGATGCCGAAAAAGGACTTTTTAAAGTAAGAAATCAAGCAAATAAGCAAACTTTATTCACGAAATACTTTAAAAATTCAAATGAATCAGGGCGTAATCATTCGTAGTACTTTAAGTTCCTGAATAAAAAGTGTAAGATTTGCTTATTAGAGATCGAATATTTCATAAGATGAGTCAAATTTTATTTTTAATTTTGCCTTCCGATATTACGAATTATCCCTGATTTAGCGAATAGTATTTTCGGTCCTTATGAATTCGTTAAATCAGAGTCCGACTCTATTTCAAAGATAAAACATTTTTGATAGCTACCCTTTCTGTATTGTCAACTGAAGAAAGTTCTTTTAAAAAATAATTATTATTTTTTGGGTCCGTTTTGTCACGTCAAGTAAAAACTTCTGAAGTAACAGTATCGATATTTATTTTGATAACCCTTTCGAAACAAGTTTCTATATATCTGGCAAGATGAACAAATTGCCCATTCACTGCGTAATTAGGGTAGAACAGGGGTTGCCAAACTTTTTTTATTATCGATCCCTACATAATTTTTCGAAATCTCTATCGACCCCATAAAAGTAATTTTCTGTTAATTAAAATAAAACACTATTAGATACTGTGTTTGTACATTTATTTTATGATTTTGAACATTTATTAAGTTCATTAGTAGTTCATAGTGTAACAATAGTTTTATGAAAAATATACTAATGTTGAAATATAAATACCTTAATATTTATGAAATAATAAGTAATTATAAGTAAGTAGAAATAATAAGTAAAGTAACTACGGATTTATTGCTTCTTAATCAATGACATGGGGGTGCCTGGTGTTTTTTTTTCTTCTGCTAAGTTCGCTATATTAGGTTCAAAATTGGTCAATTTTAATCTTAAATTCCCTCGAAACTCAACATTTAATTTATTTCTGTACGTAGTTAAGATTGAATTTACGTGACTGAAACCGGCTTCAACCATATAGGAACGTGGAAATGCTAGCATAAATAGCTGAGCTATTTCGTAAAGTCTTACATATTTTTGTTTAGTCTTACATATTTTTATGTTTATATTTGTCCAAAATTTGCTTATTGTTTAATTTTTAAAAAGCGTCTTTGCTTCAAATCCCCATAATAATTCAGCAAGCTCATCTTGCAGGTTGATGTCCACGTTTTCAATTTGAGCAGAAAATGGCACAATAATCCAATCAGGGATGTCAATGTTTTCCAAATCAACAAAACGCAGTTTAAAATCGTCGCTCAATTTTTGAAGATTACCTGTATATATTTCCAAGTCTTCTTCTTTTATTTCTAATTGTCACATATCTGAAAAATACTGATAATCCTTCGACCAATCTACCCTTCCGGTTCGGATCGACCCCCATTCGACCCCCTGGCTCAGATCGACCCCCGCTTATGTTAAATAGACCCCTGGGGGTCTATATAGACCACTTTGGCGACCTCTGGGGTAGAATCTTGTTTACTATGAATCGATCCAATAAAGTACGGAGCCGAGTAATATTGTTTTGAGACGTTCTTTCGATCAGATAACGGTGTTCTGACGAATAATACAAAATCAACGAGAAAGTTTAATATATGAATTAGTAAAAGTACAACACTACATTAATAAGTATAAATAAGTATTAATATTAAAATAAGGAAAATAATGAAGAAATATATAAGAGTAAAAATAATATATTAAATGCAAATTCCTAGGTGCAGCAAGGCTGATAAAAAGAAAATAGTTAGTACAGTGGCCCTTAGATCACTAAAAACAAATTCCAAAAATGTCACTGAAAAATGAAATAAAAAACTGAATCACAGCTGTGATGAAGGCGGTTACTTAAAAACAGTGTATTTGGATCTCTCAGTATTTTAATCTTAAGATTAAGGGTGCCCCAAAATTTAAATAGTTGTTACAAATTAATAGTTGAAACAAATTAATTATTTAGTGCTGGCAACAAAAAAAAAAGAAAATAAAAAGAAAATGGGCAGCTGATCGTTCAGTGCTAGTTAAAATGCAGCATGAGAGTTGAAATCAAAGCATTTTCATTGTTGGAGAACCGTGAAACAATCCTTGCATGTGAAAGCATGTACTCTTTGGTTTCGGTGACTCCTTAAATCACGATATTTAACACCTTTTGATGTCATTCAATGGGATTATTTGAAGTAAAAAGTGTAAGTCAGCGAGCCACTCTATTGGAATAGGAGAAGATTCAAGGCTGTTGCATCAACAAAATTCAACAACATTTAAACAAAAAAAATTGCAAAATTTCAATAAAAGAGTGAGCAACAAAGCCGCGGAGGTCATTTGCTCGATTCCATACGTACACCTATTCCATGTTTGCTCATTTTTCAGTAAAAAAAGAAATAATCTGTAATTGAAAAAAAAATGTTTTCTATTTATTTCAAATCGTGAGTAAATTTTGAGATACCCTTTGTAAGCTAAGTGATGTGATCGGTATATTTACTGCTGTGTTTGGTTAAATTATTTTTAAAATATTTTTCGCTAATATAAAGGTAATATCTAAATTTCATTAAATAATGCATGTTTAAAAAATTCCTTTTTATTTTCAGTACATATTCAAGTATGCTTGGTGGTTCTATCTTAGCAAATACGCTGATCTTCTTGATACAGTCAGTATTTTTTAATCATGTTTCTACTCTTTTACCCTAACATATGACGCACTGTGGTGTAATACTTGTCCAAATAGGTTGCTAAAAAACTCTAAAACACGTGTGTTATTTCAAAATAATACCAAATTGAGCTTTTATACATACTTAATAAGGTGTAGTTAAATCTTACCTCCAATATATGAGAAACTTCACTCGAAGTTCGGATAAATTTACTCTATTCTTGAATTATTTTCGCCAATTTTGATGTACGTTCGGGAAACGTCAGATGATCTATATTCGTGGTTTACAATCGAATTAGAGAAGATTTCAGTTTGATTTTGCCTCGTATGATGCTGACTATTTCACGGGAACAAGTAAGTAAACTGTTATAAAAAATAAATGCATTTCTTTCGTTATACATGAAAGACAATTATGCTCACATAAAAAGGTTTACGAAAAACTGACTGTTAACTGTATTCAATAATTTTATAATATTTAATTTTTGTCCCCTTTGGCTTACATTATTCGAATTTATATTAATATTCTCTCTGTGCTTTTTTTATCTTTGGTTAACAAACTAATTTTGTTTTAACAAATATTATATATTTGCATCCAGAATTAATGATTCTTGTTTTATATCGTATCGTAAACATAAATATTATTTCTATCATATCTTATTGTAGTTATACATTTTGGTGATAATGTGTAACAAAAACGGTTACTTTTCACCAAGTAGAACATTCTTAGAGTTTCACTACTCCTATCCTTCTTTCTTAGTGTAGTGGAAAGCCACTAAGTAATGACCATCCGTTTTGCCTTTGAAATACACTCTTTTTTACATTGTCCCATTTTAAAGAGCTTTTATTATTTTGAAGTATTTGCAACTTTCGAATATGTATTTGTGTGATATTATTCGCCTTTATTATTCAAAAATTTAGCATAAATGTGTTTAATTCCGTACACTGATTCAAGTATAAAATTCTGATTGTACTGAAAAATTACAAAAACAAATTTTATGAATAGAGCAACATTTTGAGGTTTGGATAAAAAAAAACCTAACTTTAATAAAAACAAATGTACTCGCAAAGGAGTCGTTAAAAATATTGCTTATGCACCTAAAAGGATGGGAGATCTGCATAATATTAAATTAAATCATAAAAATATTATAATAGTTTTTTTAGTCTTTGGTTCTGAGACTTTTTTAGAGATTTGTATGATGGATGTTTCGAAATAGCAAGTTGAGCAATAATAAATAAAATAAATAAATGAATAAATTAAAGAAAAGAAAACAAAGAGCTCCGAAAAGGACGGACTAAAAAATAACTATTGAAAAAGAGCACCACATGAACAATTAAATGAACTAAACGACCGTTTCGATTAGGCCGCTGTGCTCGAATTTAATGAAATGAAATATTAATTTGTATTTCGTAAATAGTATTTTTCTTTAAAAATAACTAATTTACAAGGGTTTTTCAAAGTTCATGGGAAAAAAACTTTTCACACTTCAATAAATTTTAACTACATGATTAGAACACTTAAGCACACGTAAGCATCACCTTTATTGTATTTTGATATGATAATAGCATGCAAATAATGCTTTTCCAACGAATGCTTTTTTTCTAAAAATTGCATTGCAATGAAAAAAAGCTCACCTCTTCTGATAAGTTTTTTGATTTATCACTAGGTTAATCACCTGAGAGACTAATTGATGTAGTCTATATGCTATAGTCTATGAAATTATTCGGTTAATCTTAATAACCGTCAGCTATTATTAACCAGATTCTCAATCATTACTTTAAGCATAACATATATTATTATTGCAGTTACAATGATGTAAAAAGTTTTATTACGTAAGCTTTTAAGTAATCCTCTCATTATCATAAATTTAAAGAACACTATTTAACCCCTTGCTTACGGTGTATCATGTTTTACCATCACATGTGGTCCATATGCTGTACCAGCCGTAAGCAAATGGGTAATTTCATCTGAATAATTATTCAATTGCATTTAAAATAAAGACAGAACGACCCGTATAGAATGGGATGGCAAATTCAATTAATTATGACAGTGGAGCTTATTCACCATTTTGTAATTTTTTTTCTGGGCTGTTTTTCTCTTTCAACAGTTAGATTGAACCCATCAACAGCTTATTTGAGAAAATTAAATTATTTCTTTTATTATTATTACCTTCTTATTATTATTTTGATTTGATTCTGTTTAAAAAAATTTTGTTCAACAAATATATATTTTCTCATTTATTGATTATAATTTTCTATTCATTTCGTAGTTGTTTTTCGTTTTGAGGAAAAAATGGCGACAGATTTCATTCCTACATGTTTTTCATCATGGTACTATCGTCTTTGTATGTTGGTTGGGAATTTATTTAAAGCATCGTGGTAAGGATCACTTTTCATGTATTTAAAATATTATGCATTTGTTTGTGTGTACATTTTTCGATTCCTGGATGCTTCATGACACAGAAATCCACATTTTTAAATAGGACGAACGATTTCTGGAATATGACAAATTCACAAAAAGGCGCCTCTAAAACCGAAAATAATGTGCTGTACCAGTTAAGGGCGTACATACATTTTGGACACAAATCTCTATTGCGGTATGCGGGAAGTGTATGTTCGTCGTGTAAAATATAAAAATTATCATTCATTATTAAAGATAGAAATTTCAGTTAAAAAGAATGAGAATATTATTTGTGATATGCGTCTTTTATACTACCATTCAAACTTTATAGGTTGTAAGTAGGACTGGGCGATATAAGAAATTTTATGTCGTGATGCATCGTCCGTTTTGCATCATGATATAGCGATGTAACGCGATATAGTATTTTTGAAATTCATTTACTTGTAAGGCGCAGAAAGTCAGATTTCTATCAAAACTTCATACTTAGATTGATTTAAATCAATTTATGAATTTGATGTATATGTTTTGCTTAAGAAAGATATTAATGTTATATTTTCTAAAAATGATCGCACAAACAACGAAAGATTTCTTAATTTAAAAATAAATAATAGAATAAAATAAATAAAATTGAAATTTATCAATATATTTACCTAACAATATAGAAAGAAATTTTAAAAAATAAGTTCATTAAAAATTATTTTTATGCTTAAAACAAAGTGCTAAAGAAATTAAACAAAAAAAAGCACTTTTAGAACAACACTATTTTTTATCATTATTATTTCACATAATTAATAAATGAATAATTACCGAATTCTGAACGAAAAAACAACGTAAGGTTTAATTTCTTAAAAATAAAAACTAAAGAATTTTGATATTCGATAATATATTCAACTGACAATATTGAAAGAAAAATAAAAAACACGATTATACTCCTTAATAAAACGAAGTGCTAAATGATTTTGAAAAAAGAAATCGCAATCGCAAACATTACTAATTATTTTTAATAAACAAAGTTGATTGACTTATGTCCAAATCCAAAAGAGGAAAAATAAGTTTTGTTATAATTTTATTTATAAAAATGAAAACAACTAAGATTTGTAAATTTAAAATCAGTAATAAAAACCCATTAAATTATTATTTTATCCAAAAACTTTTTAATAAATTAAAATAAAGTAAATAATAGCCTAACAAATTTAATTACTTTTTAATTTAATTCTTTATGGGCACCTTAAATTAGATTTCCGTTTGTAATAAATTCAATAATGTAAAATAATACTTAAACATATAATATCAAAATTAACTATAGTATTTAAAAATTAAAAAGAAGGTTTTGTTTAAAAAAAAATTACCTAATTAATTAGGAAACACTTCTTTATACATTCTTTGCAATAATAGATTGCGTTTAGAACAAGGTAACGACGGCGATCACAAAAAGTCAGTTTCACTGAAAATAATCTACAAGAAACGATATCAAGTCGCGATAAAGGAGAAAAAAGAACTAAGAGGTGCAGAAACGAACATGCGAGATCACGATATATGTTCTCAAAACTGATTCTGATTCTACCGCTCATCAATCAAGGCCGTTTCAATATAACAATACGAACATCGTCTTCCCCAGCGCGAGTTGGCATTGGAACGTAAGAGATCCTTGCGTGTCTTGTATCGCTATATAGCTATATCGTATATCGCTATATCGTATATCGCTATATCGTATATCGCTATATCGTATATCGCTACATCGTATATCGCTATATCGTATATCGTTATATCGTTCATCTTCTTTACTCGACGGCTTTAATCAGATTTCTGATGCATCGCCTGGAACGAAAGTCGCTGTATCGGCCTGCCGATACAGGAGTTAAATCGATATGTCGCGATATATCGATTTATAGCTTAGTCCTAGTTGAAAGCTATTCCATCTAGAAAAAAAAATCCGCTTCGATTAGGCTAGAAAAAAGGAATCCTTAAGGAGACACCTGGTGTACTGTCTGCCGCTTTGTATTACAGAGCGAACACAGCAAAAACCAGCGACAATATCACAGTAAAAGGAATTGGAATTTTCAAATTATTTTTGTTCTCTGCGTGTTTTTATTGCTTTTGCATATAATTATTATTTGCATTTTTCCTATAGAGTATAAAAATTAAATTTCTCGCTTAACTACTTAAAACATTACTAACAATATGGACAAAAATAATTTATTACTACAATATAACGTGTATTACTCTTTCTAGTTTAAGAAACTTAAAAGCAATAATTCAATAACTCTTATCAAGAAGTTTGATAACTCCCGAAATTCATTCATCCGATCAAATTATGCTCTCATACATTGCTGCCTTATTTGTCGTAACACTTAAAACACAAAATGGAAAGCCTTAATTGTTTTTGATTTAATATTATAATTGAACATACAATTTAAAGGGTCTTCAATAAGGGATTCAATGATGCGAACGACAGATATGAAATCAGACACTAAAAAGTACTTTCTTTAAATGAACACACTTCAAACTAAGGAAGTGACAGTAATTTTGAAAATTTGGTTCAGTTTAGTAAGGAAAGTGGTTGAGGTTTGGATATCGTAACTCTCTATTTAAGTATTTCAATACTTAGGTCGTGAAAACTTTAAGCGAAACAAAACACTTTCGTACACAATTGTGAAAGTCGTCCCTCCAAAGACGTACAGAAATATATGACATGTCAATAACTTATCGTTTTATTATTTAATTTACTTTTGGTAAAAAAAAATTATTTACTATTGGTGAAATGTAAACCTTTAGATCATTTTAATCAACTTTTTACAATTAAAAAATCTGGAATTTGAAGAGAGAATCACTCAATATGTTCATGAAAAATAAAAATTTGAAAATTGTACTATCCTCCTGACTTAACTAATGGATGTCATATAATGGAATGAGACCTTCCTGTTTTGAGGAATCCAAACCCGTTTATTCAACAAAAAATGTTCGATTTAGTGTTAGAAAGCACGCTTTGTGCCTGATTTCGTTTCATAAAATATCATCAGCACTGATGCATAAGCATAATTAAGGTTTTCCACCATTAAAACCAAATTTCAGTACGTTAAAATCCAACAACTCAATCAAAAGTCATTTGGGCATTCTACTTTTTATTTTGCGTACAGAACATTGTAAAATATATTAAAGGTTAATTACTATGGAATAATTTCAGTCATAAAAAAGAAAACAAAGTTAGATGAAATAACCTTTTTATTCATTTTGTGTAGGATTGTATTTAGCATTTGGAATGCCAATCAATGCATTTATTCACGTTTGTACTTATTCTTACTACACGCTGGCAGCATTTGGACCTCGTATGCAAAAGTTCCTTTGGTGGAAGAAATACTTGACATTCCTTCAAGTTGTAAGTATAGCTGATAGACAGTTAAGGGGAGATCTCATATAAAAAATTTTAAGAGTTTTCTTTTTATATATTAATCAGAGGGCGCTGGTTTTCCATGAAAATTGAAAATTATTCAAAGATTCGATAATTTTTGCAATAAAACAGGTTTGGTATCGCAGAGTTGGTTTCCTTCATCAATTTGATCGTTTACCACAGTATCTTCATCCATTAATTTGTATTTAATTTTTGGTTGCTATAAAAAAACTGGCTGAATGTTTCCTGTCAAAGAGATCATTCAGGAAAAGCCCGAAGAGCTCATTCATAAACTGATGCTTTATAGTTTTGTATTTATTGTTTTAATTGGATCCCCATATCGGACAGAGCTTTACATAAAGATTAAATAAAAACGTTTAAAAATTGTAAAACAGCACATCCGTTCAGATATCGATTTAAAGATGTTTATCGTATGATATTGCTCAATGAGGAAATATTGTAGTATTTTAATAAATCATCACCGTTTTCAGTTTAAAGCTTTTCGTTAGGAACATTAATCGAAATCAAAAATGTAATAATAGCAATACTAAGAAAGGATAATAAAAGGATTATAAGTACTAAATATTAAGGAAGGATTTTAAATAAATATAAAATGTAAACATCCGGAAAGTAAGAGTAAAGTAATATATTGCTGTTAAACAACACCTTTTAAACCTTTATTAATTTTATACTCACGACAACCAAAGAAATCTGGATCTTTATGTAAGTCAACAAGATCATACCACGTTATTGATCTGTACAATGAGCAAGGATCGTGAATGCACGCTCACATTTACATTTCTCATCAAATTTTTCTGCACTATATTATTTTGAGCAAATGTGATTCTTTTTGTTTCTAGAACGTCCCCCTACTAAGTGTTGTTTAGATATGCATGTAAAAATTAGTATGAAAATATGAGATGAATTATATTATCGTAATCTGCAATATGGATAGATTATTAAATTAACATGCGTTCTGAAAACACTTTCAAAGTTAAATTACGAAGTATTAATTGAAAGTGGGTCATTAAAAACTACTTTTGATTGAAATACGTTTTTATGAACTCTCTTTCGGGTGTGTCACAATGGAATCTTGCAATGAAAGTTTCGATCACTCAAATCTGTTGTTCCTAATACAGATAAACACTTATTATCACCCATAAAAATTTAGACCACCAAATGATTAAGTGGAACGCTCATATTTTAACTGGTGCACTCTGCTGGATGAAACTAACTGTGTCAATCGTTTCCTGACAGTTACAAGCATCATTTATCGCCATAATATCGCCAAATTTATTGATCAAAGAAATTTCGACTAGAAGTAATGAAATTAAAACTGTGATTCTGAGTCTGATGACTATACATATTTCTTAATTGCAACAAACAGAATTTAGTGCTATATTATCGCGAAAGGAATTCATCTTTCATCAAAATTGCGAGCACTTTGCGGCTAGCGAAAGAGTTCAAATTTATAAATTCACAATTGTGCTCGACTGCAATATGAGTTTCATTCGTGTTTAGGGTATTTTAAGCAAACTTATCTCTATATTATGAGTTTAATCATTTTCTGACTTTTACATCCAGAGCCTATGCTACCACATTATTAACAAACAAGAATAATTTTCTATTCAAATTATGATAACTTTTCAAGTAGGTAGAGAATTCAGACTTCAACTGCACGTGTCTTATTTTAACACGATTGTTTTCAACATGATTCGAGCAAACTTTTTCGGGCAATCTAACAAAATTACTACCACTGCCCTCTTCCCTAACTGTTTTTAAAATCAAGTTTCGGTATTAACCGTCTTTGTGTGCTTAATCTGACAACTCTTGTTTAAGGCTGTTTTTCGAAGGCTCCGTCGTAATATGAAATGCGAATAATATGCTATTTTTAAAACAGCGCAGTGTTTTCAACTGTTACTCAAGATTGTTAGATTAAGTTTAGCCTATTTAAAGCTAGCGTTGTCAACGTACTTATTTTGAAAATGGCGCAAAACGCCAATATGGAGAAAAGTCATAGTTTTCCAAAAGTGAAAAGCGTTTGTGGTCTAATTTTTTAATATTTAAGAACTTACTCCAATTACCAGGGCTCATAAAACTTTGCATAAACTCAGAGTATGCTGAGAGTTTGATAATTTTTATGTAAGTGGAAAAATGTTGCCCAAAAAAAGTTTAAAAAAAAAGAGCTTTATAACTCTCTAAAGCCCAGATAATTCTTCACATTAAGATTACATATATAGTTTAAAATCCTCGCATTTTTTCAAGTGTAAGGTGCGTTAGCTATAGCTTTTTTATTTCCTTTGCTGACTGAATTTCCAAAAACAGCGTTAAAAGATAGGACAAGTTAGTTATAACTTTCTACCGTCCGCCATCATTTCGCAACTACCACTTAGAGCTTTTGACTGAAAATGGTATCGCAATTGTTAATTTGCTGACTGATTGAAATCTTCATCCTAAATTTCCAATTTTGGAAAAAGATTGATACGCTTTAAATATTCCTTATTCACCAATTATTTCAATACATTAATTGTTTTAAATATATAATAAATGGCCTCTGTTTTTGATATTTCAGGGTCAGTTCATCGTGGGACTTATTTTCATATTTTCGACTATTGCTCTTGGATGTGAAGAATTGGAACCCATTTTTATTATTGTCATACCATTCGGAATAACTCTTTTACTTTTATTTGTTAACTTTTACAACAAAAACTATGTTAAATCAGACTAAAAACAATTCATTACTTGGGATGTAATATTTCATTCTTTTATTTGAAATTAATTCATATAGGACATATTAATAAGCAATTATAAAATAATACGTAAAACTTATACTTAAAGGTATACATTTCTTTTATGAAAATACAACACTATCAAGCTATTCTACTATCTTCTCGGAAACTCAATTACTTTCAATATCCAGATTTTACAGAGAAAAGTGAAATGAATGGATTTTTAAGAAGTGGGCGAGTTCTGTAAAACGGAGTCAGTGAAGTCACTCTGAATGGTTAAAGCAGATGACTTAAATTAAACGAATTCAATCCATTTCATTCTTAAATAGAAGTTTTTACCAATTAATTTAAAAATTCTATTTCCCTAACTTACCCACGACATTCACTTTTAAATTATAAATTTTAAACTCAACGAATGTTAATGGTAGTTTTTAACTAATTAAACTGGTGATAATCATAATTATTTGTAATCTTGGATTCATTATTGAAACAGAAGTTGAATTCTAGTTGTATGAAACTTCATATATTTCTCTGTTGCTGTCATTATGCCAGCAATGGTTATAGTGGCATAAATTACGATTATTATTATGATCAATCTAATTAATATCGTTGCGATTATTATTATCATAAATTATGATTAGTTAAAGGTATGATTGTTTACTTTTGTTATTGTTTACTTTTTGGACTTTTACACGAATCAAAAACGATACTTAGAAGGAATGCTAATGATATCATATTTCTGTTTTAATATTTTAGTTATGAATTATTTGCATGAAATGTTTTTGAGAATTTTGTAATAAATGTTTAGTGCCGTAAAAGAGAGTTGAATGACTCCTTCTTCAAATTGAATGCGAAAAAATAATTGTTAAATAAAACCTTATTTATATGCTCTGTTATATTATTTTCTTAATAAAATATAATGTATTATTGTTACTTTTTAATATGTTGTATTACTGTTAATATAATGTATTATTGTCTGCTTTCTGGAATCTTACATGAATCATCAACCATATTTAAAAGAAACGCTAATGATATCATATTTCTGTTTTAATATTTTAGATATGAATTATTTGCATGTAATATTTTTGAGAATTATGTAACAAATTTTTAGTGCCGTAAAAGAGAGTTGAATGACTCCATCTTGAAATTAAATGCGTAAAAATAATAATTGTTAAATAAAACCTGATTTATATGCTCTGTAATATTATTTTCTTAATAAAATATAATGTATTTTGATAATGTATAATTGTTACTTTTTAAATGTATTATTTTTACTTTTAAAATGTATTATTGTTACTTTTTAAATGTTTTATTGTTTGCTTTTTGGACTTTAACGTGAATCATCAACGAAGCTTAAAAGGAATGTTAATGATATCATATTTTTGTTTTAATATTTTAGTTACGAATTATTTGCATGTAATGTTTTTGAGTATTTTGCAACAAAATTTTAGTGCCGTAAACGAGAGTTAAATGACTCCTTCTTGAAATCGAATGCGTAAAAATAGTTGTTAAATAAAACCTTTTAATTTATATGTTCTGTAATATTTTCTTAATATGTATATTTTATGTATTTAAAGTATTTTGAATGGAGTGATAATTTACTACAGTCAATCATTCAAAGTTTGAGTTGCCAATAGACCTAACTCAATTGTCAAAGAGGTAGGGAAAAAAATTCTAAATACGGTTGTTGTTTTTTTAGTTCATTTTCACAAACAAACTGATATTTAGTCCCCTCCTACCATGTAAAATACAAAAATGTCACCCGAACATATTTTGAGACATAAAGTTTACGGTATTTAAGATTCTTAATTCATTTCTGACAAAATTATACCAAAACAATCCTGCAATCAGCAGTTTTTGAAAGGTAGCAAGTCAGTTGTCTGTTCTTGGAGTTTCTTTTCTCATCAAATTCTTTGTTTTTGAGCAATTTTCATTTTCATTATAAAAGTTTTTTAGCATCGCTTTTATGAATTTAAAATGGAATAAAATTTTAAGAAATCTAAAGATAAACAAATATGCAATTTTAAATTACTGAATCAAGACATCAACAACTTTATTGCTATAAGGATTTAAGGACAAGACCATCGAGGTTCAAAAATTGATCCAGCGCCATTTCTCTTAATCTAATTATTCCTTCATTTTACGCCCATTTTAAAAAGTATTGTGCTATAGAATCATATTATGTCATCCAAAGCTTGTTGAGTATAAATTTTTCTTCTTCAAGAAAATGAAACTTAAAAATTCAACCTAAAATCCATGATGATGAGGGTAGAGGCCTCTTCATAAAAAGAAAGTTTATTTCTGAACTAATTTTTAACGGAAACATACAATCGACTATTTCCTGATGTACCATAAAATTCTTCTTCGTGAGGTTGCTGAAAGAAGAAAAAAATTAAAAGTATAACCTCCATGCCTTATTGCAATGCAAGTCTTAAATCATTTTCTGACCGCTACAATCAGAATTTATCGTCAGTCTAGCATAAGGAGTCAGTCTAATATAAAGAATTTATTGTCAATCAAAATTCCGTCCACTGTTTGACTAAGAGGAGTATCATAGGAACTTGACGGCAGTACATATCTCAATCGTTTCCTGTCTGTCACAAGTAGAAATTATATTCCCCGATCTAAATCTGAAATGTTCAATGATGTAAGTTACAAGTGTTACTTAAATAGTGCAACCAAAACATATCCATTTTGTCATCAATTCACATTTCGGTCAGTCTCAACAAATAAAAAGTAAAAAAAAGTTGAATTGGAAAAATAGATTTTACTTTTATCAGACTTTAATCAAAAAACGTGATACACAATGTTTACGAAATAAATTTTTATCACTTTCCAAAATTTCTACCGCATATTTCAAAAATGTTGCTCTCAATGCTTTTTTTTCTCCTTCTTCTTAGATTTGTCGTAAAACAAAATCATTTTGTCTCTTTTTCTTTAGTCTACTCGAAAAATGCGGTTTAAAGTTTTGAATCTATTTTATCATTTTTTCTTCATTTGTTGCGAAACATGATGAGTTCAAATTACTGCACATTATAGTACTTTTTTTTGCGTAACTCGACAAAATCATTATTCAGAAACAAACCAGATTTGCTTCATGATGAATCGTCGATAACATCTGAACAGTCTAAAATCATGTAAAGAACGATTTATTTATTTATTAAAACACGTGTTTTCATCTAATTATCTAAGTTTAATACAGCATTTCCTAACGTAATTTTTATATAGAAGAATAAAAGAAAGGTTGTATAGTAAATAGCCGATTGTTCTTAACTCAAAATGGATTGTGAATTTCTTCTTTCTGTCTCTGTTGACGAAGCTGGGTGTGAAAAATTATATTCCAACGTTGACGACGATTCTGAGAAGGATTGTGATAAAAGGAACAAGTTCAAGAGGTGCAGTTTCATCACTCACAACCTATTAATTGTTCTAGAAGGAGCCTATTTCGCATATTTAGTCGGTGTTTTTTCTACTATCGAAAAAAGATACGCATTCAACAGCAAACTATCGGCTTTAATGCTCATAGCCGATAGCATCAGCGCTACATTTGCAAATGTTTTCCTTAAAGGGATAGTGCCGAATAACAGGCACTTCTGTTTTGGGACATGCCTGACAGCCATTAGTTGCTTCCTCATTATCATTCCTTATGTTGTGCTCGGAACTTACAGCCAACTATTGCTTATTTTCCAGTCCGGCGATTATTTAGAATATTGTGGAAACGAAAATGATTTGAATGAGTGTTTAAGACATTCATCGTCGTCCCTGTTGGTCTTCGCAGTTCTTTTCACAGCTAATTTCTTGAGGGGTTTCGGACATTCCTTATGTTTTCCAGGCGAATCGTTGTGTGTGTTGGATACAAGCAATTGGAAAGAGCAATTGTCAATGGATTTCAGTAAGTATTTTAGTTTACTATGTCAGGTAGCATTCGAGGTAAAAAGGATATATCCTTACCGTCACCTGTTTGCATTAACTACGATCGCAAAGATGCCAATGAGAATTTTAAACTTGCAAAATTGAAAAAAAAAAGAATTCGTTTGCAAAACGTTTTAATCAGTTAATGAATATGTTTGGCGATTCACGAACGCAACGATCTACAGGGGGTGGTGTTATTTGAGACAAATTCCTGCTAGCTTAACAGCAGGATCATCAGTTGCACTGAGATTTTCTCAGTGTAGCATGGTAATGTTCCTTCTTTAATGTGGCTTTTTAAATTTGAAAAGAAAAATGTCTGATATTCTTTCGTATGACAAAATGGAACACCGAAGACAAAAACAAAAACAAAATGGCTATCTTTTTTTTTAAAGAAGGAACATCCAAAACACCAATATTTGCAAAAAATATTGTAATTAGGGTTAAAACCAAGCGCCTGAGAAATTGTTCTACTAAATTTAATGATCTAGTGTGAAAGGTCTATTTAAATTTTACACTCCATACTTTTCTGTATCATATTACTTCAAGCATTAAAATCATGCAAAAGTATACAGAAGCATATAATGTTATACCATTTAATTTTGAGAAAAAAAGTTCTTTGACTACAATTTTTATCAAAACATTTAAAGTTTCCTTAAAAAATCATTATTTATAAACTAAAAAACGTAAAATAAGGAATGCTTATCATAAAGAAAAAAAAACGATCCTAAAAATTCATCATATTGAAAAAAAAAAAATTCGTATTGTTTATTTTTTCTAGTCTTAAAGTTTTTAATCAGACGTAAAAACTATTTTGTAGAGAACTATCATCAAATTAAAAAAATTATTTACAATAAAATTTTTTATTATAAAAATTATAATATCTTCATCTTGCTTCTAAAATCCGGAGAATTCCAAATGAAATATTCTTCATTTTAAAATTTTATCTTCAAATAATATATACATTATACATAGATCACCCCTTCACTACTTTTAGATGACTGATGATGATAGGAACAAAATTTTATAATTGTAAGATCTCGATATGAATTTCATTATATAACTTAAAAGCAGAATAGCTGAATTCTAGTTGATATTATTCATTCAGAATTAAAAAATACAAGGAAAACTATAAAGAAAATTATTAATAATCAACACCAATGATACTATTTCAACTAATTCGGATGATTCTTTAATTGTTGTTTTGAATTATACAGATTCAGTAATATATACTATTCTATAAGAAGGAAGAATATTCTATAACTATTACAGTCCTGCACTTTCTCAAATTACATTTATTTCTTTGGAATGAAGTAAGCAATGTTGACTTCACTTTAATTTGTAATAAATTGAAGAAAAAAAAATTATTTTACAGTAATACACGCATCTATAACAGTATGCGATAACGAAATCAGAAATTATCTGTTGCACGTTTGTTGATAATAGAAAGGTAAAAATTATTTACAAATTGTTCTTGGGCGCGTTCTGTTTCAGAAAGATTTACCAATATTCTGGGCCGTTTTTTATCAAGTTCTTCTGCCTTTTCCTTAGGTGAATTTTGCTTCTTATTTGCTGTTTAAAAATGGCGTCCTACTCTGCAAATGTTTCTGATAAAATTAAATGAAAACTTAATAAATAAAAGCCTGAAACCACCCTCTAGAGGGCGTGTTCAAGCGTTGCGATCGCGAATACTAAAAGCACCCGTAAAGATATTGGGATTAAATATTTATTTTTAGAGCTAGTCGCAAATTATTTGGGAATATTAGATAATGAAATGCATAATTTATTAGTTGACGCCCAATCAGAAAGCTTAACGGAAGAATATGACAAAATGTAAGAGTATAACGAAAAATTTAACACTGTTTGCATTGAATTCAAAGTATATTTAGAAAAATTTGCCACATATTATGAAAACAGTTTTTCTGTTGTTGCTGAAGAGATAAAATTAAAACTTCCTAGAATAGAATTAGTTAAATTTAAAGGAAAAGTAAAGGATTAGATAAGTTTTTGGGGTCATTTTAGCCGAATACACGACGATCAGTTAAGGAATGACGAGGATAAATTTCAATATCTCATTCAGTGTATGGTTCTGGGAAGTAGAGCAAAGGAACTTGTAGACAGTTATCCAACCATCCACTGAAAACTACGTCAGATTGACAGAAAGTTTTAAAGCAAGATTCAGTCGGGAAGAACTTCCCTTCGAATATTAAGTAAGATAACTATTGACTTTAGGGGTGAAGAATGCGATGAATAAAACAAAGATGAACATAATGCACTTTTATGATAAATCGGATCTGCGTCCACAGGAATCTATTGGTGAAACAAAAGAGAAATATGCTGCTATGTAGTTTCCATAAAGTTCCTTATAGAGAAGTTTTCAAATCCAATTCAAAAACTAATGTCAGGCTTTTGGGAAATAATAATTAAAATAGTTAGAAATCTTCTTCGTCGAGTTTTAGGAAAAGCTTGCCTTTCGTAGGAAGAAATGATCAGTGTTTTATGTGACTGCGAGTCAGTTATCAATTCTAGACCTCTTACGTATCTCACAGAGGATCTGGATGATTTAATATCTCCCACTCCTTCAATGTTCTTACAAGAAATTTTGACGGTGGGAGTACTAGAT